AAAAACGAACAGATCTGGTTAAATAATCGCGAGTGGCTGCTTCTACAAAATGAAACAGCCTCTCTAGTGCTGTGTCACCCTTTCTCCAGTACACTGTCCACAGTTTAAGCATTAACAGGCTTTGTTTAAAGGTCATTCTCCTCCAGCATCTCTGAAGTGGCATTCCGCTTTTTTTTTACCCCCCGAACATGGCTGATTTTGGAGAAATCCTGCGGAATATCGGAGAGTTTGGACTATTTCAAAAAACCATCCTGTTTGCGCTATGCTTCCCAAACTTCTTCCTGCCTTTTCACTTCACCAGTGTGTTTTTTGTCCAATCCGACCCGGAGAGACACTGCGACACGGACTGGATCCTGGCCGCGGCCCCCAACCTGACCCTGGACGAGCGGCTGAACCTGACCCTGCCCAGGGAGGAGGACGGCAGCCTCAGCCGGTGTCGGATGTTCGTCCCCGTGGACTGGGACCTGGACGCCATCAGGAAATACGGCCTGAACGCCACCACGACGTGCCGGGACGGCTGGGTGTACGGCCACACGCCCTACCAGTCCACCATAGTCACAGACGTGAGTGGTGACCCGTCTCATTCAAATGCAAATGCAACTCTGGAAGTGTGTCCCTTTTGTGAACGTTGTGCATGATGACATCTCCCCCTGCAGTTTGATCTAGTTTGTGATGATTCTTATTTGTTGGAAGTGGCACAAGCCGTGCTAATGGCCGGCATCCTGATTGGATGTCTCTTACTTGGACCTTTTGCTGAATCGTAAGTTGTTTTGCACAAACCAAAATTTGTTAATTTATTTTGTTTGTCAGCATTAAACCGCATTATATCACATTAATGTGACTTCTGACATTCTGTGGAAATGTGACAGTTAAAGATAAGGGTTTTTTCAACACCAACTGTCTTTGTTATGTATTTTCCCCTCATGGAAACAATAAAATAAGCACAAAAACGTAGTTCTTTATGAAAAGTACTCTTCTGAAAATGCACTTTTCAGCTCGCGTGTGTCCAAAATGTTTGTTTATCTTTCCATGAAAAATTAAACATTAAAAAAGTGTCACATATAAATAAAAAAACACAACTGGGATAACCCAGACAAATGCTAATGTCTGTGTGTCATCCCAGTGGTTGTTACTGTATGCCGAGTGGAGTCACAAAGCTGAGCATTGGTTAATATGCCTGCATCCAAGTTTATTACAGTTGCATATTCAAAATGCTGTAAGAATTAGAACGTTACCTAGGTTCTCTTAGAATAAATCTATAATGGTCATTTTTTTTACCACTAAACTGACAATGACTGCGTCTCGTTTTGTTTCAGGTTTGGTCGCAAACGTGCTACTCAGATCCCGGTGGTTTTGATGCTCATATTTACTGTAACAACTGGATTATCTCCCAACTTCTACTTGTACCTGGTGTCGCAGTTCATCGTGGGAATTGGCTACGGAGGCTACCGACTTAATGGAGTTATACTGGGTAAAGTGTACTCGGCCAGTTTTCCCACACATTACTTAACTGTATTTAAATCTAAGTGTAAAAAACACCATCTGAGTGAGAATCTGAGTTATAATTTTATATATATATATTTTTATTTTATTTCTGTCAAATAATTGGGATGCATAACATTTAGATATAAGACTGCATTTTGATCCTTTGGGTCATTAGTTACACTGCCTAGGCTCACAGACACAATTGTCCATAATAACAGACTGAAAGCAAGATTAAAAATAGTCTGCCTGGTTGCATAAAAAACATTTGGCATGATAACAAAATGGAGTTCTGAGGTCAGAATCTGTGATGCACATGTGAATGCCATAAAAAACAGTAATTAAACTGAGCGTCACCCCTGCATTGCCATCTTTTTTAGAGAAGACTTTGCCTATTTTAGCAAGTTTTTCTAAAGAAAAAAGCATGGCTCTAAAATAAAGAGGTTCAGATGCCTGTTGTGCTGCGTGATCTCCAAATCTGTCACCTGCACACACAATTTATCAAGAAACAAAAGATGGTTAAAAGCCAAAGTAAAAAAAATTAAATAATAGTTGGAATCCTATGAAGCAGTCAAGGTTGGCGAATTTTTCTTGCTCAAGATCTCAGGTCTTGCTCTGGTCCAACTGAATCTAAACCATCTCCTGCAGTCACAACTCAAGTTTTCATAGAGTCGGATGTCCCTAATGTTAACTGGACGCTCTGTTTCCAGCCACTGAGTGGATCGGCGTGTCCAGGCGGTCGTGGGGAGCGTGTGTGACTCAGCTTTTCAGCGCCATCGGGCAGTCTCTCCTGGCCGGCCTGATCTACTTTGTCAGAAACTGGAGGCTGGCTCAGCTCATCACAGCGGTTCCCTTTGCCATCGTCACCATTTACATCTGGTATGTATTCCAGACGCATTTTCCAATTCAAGCTACACTGAAGCTTCAAATTGGAATCCGCTTTTTTTGGGATAGGTTTATTCCAGAGTCAGCCAGGTGGTTGTTGGACAGAGGACGGACAGAGGAGGCTAAACGGCTGATCACCAAAGTGGCAACCATCAACAAACGTACCTTCCCAGACTCTCTGCTGGAAAAGGTACCTTTCTTTGTCCTTTCTGTTTTTTCTGCAACAGGAGATACATTTCTGTACAATAAATGGAAAATGAATAAAGACCCGTTGTGTATTCCAGTGTGTAAATCGGTTTCATTACAGATACGTTTCCCAGTTTAAAGTGCATCTTTCTCTGAGGTTTGACAGAGATCAATCAGAGAATGATCAGAAGTTAATTGGAGCAGATGTTAGCGTCATGCTTTGTTTACCCCTGTGCGTTTCAGATTGATATGAAAGGCTCTGAGAAAAAGGATGGCGTAGTAGTTCTTTTCAAATCCCCTGTGCTTAGGAAGTATTTCCTTACCGTTATATTGGCTTGGTAAGTTGCATTTTATGATACACAAAGTCACCATATACCACCTAAACCCCTCCATCCTCCCAACCAACATATCTAACGGTCAGTTTCTTTTTTCAGATATCACAGATTTGTATTGTTTTTTTATCCCCCAGGTTCTCGCTGAACGTCACCTACTTCAGCCTTTCCTTCAATGTGGGGAACTTCGGCCTGGACATTTTCCTGACGCAGGCCATGTTCGGCCTGAGTGAGCTCCCGGCTCACATCCTGTGCATCTGGCTGCTGGAGTCAGTGGGCAGAAGAGTGTCCCTGATGTCCACTCTCCTGATCGGAGGGCTACTCTGCATCTCAATCCTCGCCGTTCCTCAAGGTAAACACCATCAGAGGTCTCCATTTCTCCATGTGTGTAAAGTCAAATGAAATAAAAACAGCTTGTTTAAGAGACACGGGTTGTTAGGGAGATGCTTTATGACTGTGTCTCTCGTGATGTCCTATGTCGGGCTCTGTTCCCTCTCTTAATGCCCCCTCATAAATTGGAGTTAGTCTAAATCGCCAAAGTAAAATGACAGAGACTGGAGGTCAGCTTTTTCCCGGCTCAGCTCTTCTCATTTCTCTCCCGTTTTGTTCAAGATAACGCCGTTGCTGTCACCGCCTTAGCGGTCGGTGGTCGATTTTTCAGTAACTGGGCCGGGTCCATATGTAGCGTCTATGTTCAGGAACTGTTTCCGACATCGATCCGGTGAGTTGATGTCTTCTGTGTCCTCTCTGAGTTAAATAAAGTGATTTGTGACATATATATCTGCAGTAAAAACGTTAAAAAAACCAACCAAAAATAGAAAACTTCCTTGACCTGTTTTTCTCAGTGCAGATATTTAAAGGATACGTATCCTCCTGAGACCCAAAGAAAAAAAGTGTCTTCAAATTTCTTTTTTGTTGTGATTTTCCATGTATTTGGACCTAAAAAAGAACATTACCATTTAAATTTTTAAAAAAATATTTTTAATTTTAATTTCATAGCATGTCCACTGTGGAGGACAACAGGACGATTTGCATGGGAAAATAAAACAGGCTTTAGATAATTAAATAATAATTTTATAATAATAAAACAGAAGATGTCTTGAAAGGGATATTTACCTAAGAACTCTTAGGAAAAAAGTAAAGTTCCCAGCATGCAAACGTATCACATGGCACATCACTGGAAGGCCCAGGATGTCCTCTACAGAACACTATAGGGTTTGATAGGGTAACTCCAGATACTTAAGGGGGGTACAGGTGGACAAAATGTCCACTATAATGGACATAAATGAATGGGCCGGGTCTCAGGAGGGTATAGTCAACATTTGCCGTTCTCTTCCAGACAAACGGCCTCTGGTCTGGGCTCCATCGCCAGCCGAGCTGGGGGCCTAGTCTCACCGCTGCTCAACATGCTGGCTGTGTACCACTGGTCAATTCCCACCATAGTCTTCAGCACCCTTATGCTGATTAGTGGAGCTCTGAGCTTTTTACTTCCTGAGACCAGACGGAGAGAGCTACCGGATTCTACAGATGAGGCCGAGGGCATCACGTAAGCAGGCCTTTTTTTATTACATTTTTTTGTCATTTAATGTATTGTCATGCGACTCAGATGTGAAAAAGAGAAATATCTGAATGAAATGTCTCTGTCCCCACAGAAACAAGAGCACTGTGAAAAGCAGAAGTGGATCAAACGAACCTCCAGAGAGCAAATCAACCAAGCTGTAATCGTAAAACTTTGAAGATTTTCTTTCCTCTGTGTCTGGGAGTTTGCCTTAGAATGATCTTTTACATTTCCCATTAGGGATCAGTCTCACTAACCATAACAAGGAGACGATTGCTGTAAATGTCACTAAGGACACTGATACTACTGAGTTAACTTGGCTTTTAGGGACTCGAGTCTTAGAAGGGTTTCTGAGTACATAGTTCAAGTTACATAGTTATTTTCCCCCATAAGAAACTGTTAATGACAGGAGATGGTAGTCTTGTCTTTTTGACATATAGCAGTGGAAATTAGACGGAGCGTGTTTTTTAAGTCAATTTTAGAAGAGTGAAGCTGGATTTGGAGAATGTTGATGTTAATTTTGGCTTCCAAATAACCATAATAACCAATTCATGGATTCATGGGATAATCACGAATTGTGCTTTCTCTGTTTATAAACTCTTTGGTTTATAAAGTTATTTGTATGAACAGAAACACCACTCTAACCTTTACTAATATTAACATTCTGTGTATACCTTCAATCTGATAAATTGACATCATATATATGTATGTATATATACTTTTAGAGGCGTCTAGCTTCTACTATATTGTTTAAGCAATGTTTTGAGCAATGTTCTCATTGGTAACGCTGGATCTACGTGTGTAAGTATATGTAAGTGTCCTATTTCTAGTTAAACATTAAACTTTATATGTTTCCGAGGAGTCCAGTAAATATGCACCTTTGTAATAAGATCTCAGCTTAACGTTGATAAAACTGTTCTATGATCTCGTGATGATGGAGACACAAATACATGTCCATCCATCATCTTATATTAAAAATGGCCAAAGTGTTCTTTTTGGATTCTATTTCAGTTTGAATCGTTTCAGAATTTTTAAAATATTATGCAGCAAACTTCTTGTCTGGATATCTTAAAAACATGCCCACATTCCCACAGTTTCCTGAACAAAGGCTGTCAGCATAAATTGGCCTGCAGTAATCTTGTGTGAACTTTTCGTTTCACGGGCTACATGAACTAATTATTTCTCGATCACTCGTGAGTTACAGCAGGCTTTATACCTCCTTGATTACACTAAGATAAAAAGCTATATGGGTCATTTATCCTTAAGAACCACTGCGGTGAATTTATAGTCTTTTGCTGGGATAAACGAACTTAAACAATCTTTTAAATGTCCTCTCTTTGTGAGATTAGACAACGTCCTGCTGAGAAAGGGAGGTGATTGAGTTTTCTGAATTTATTTGAACCATTTATTTACTGTCTAAACTGTTCTAAACGTCCCCTTTGAAAATATACTGTAACCCATTTTGATGCTGTAATTAATCTCAAAGGCTGGAATTAAATCAAGTTTTGAAAGCGCAGTGCAGCCGTAAAATACCAGAGAGATGAAATTAACAAGCTTTCAGAGAAATGTGAAAATGAGGAAGGATGAGAGATGACTGTGAACACACCAGGGTTAGATAATCTACTATTACATTGTTAAGAAATATAATCTGCTCTCTCAGGAGAAAGTCATCCTAATTAAGGGAATCATCGCTTTTAGGATAGTGGTTCAACATTAGTGTTTACTGTTTGAGTCTTTATAGAAAGACAAAATCGGATATCAAAACTGCAGATTTTGGATGTAAACATACTGGTGGATTAGGATTATGAGCACTGCAGACATATAAAGTACTTACAAGAAATGTGTATGTGTTTTTTTGAATGCATGTTTTATTTGGAGTAAGACACACACTAGTTTTATCTTTATTGTCATGATGATCAAAATAATGCAGTGTAACCGTTTCCAGTACAGCGATGACCCACAGATTCATCAGGGAAATCTGGGCCCTGATCACAGATTCACCCATTTTAATTTTACTTTTCTCTACCGGTCCAGGAGCTCCGCTTCATGCTGAGGTGTCAGGATCATTTCAGTCTGACGTGCTGAATGTGACAAAAGATTTACCATAGCTACACCTTAGCAGGAGCTCTGACCGGTGACTGGATGGACATAGCTGTCTGCTGCCAAAGAGTAAAGAAACCGTGGAAACAGAGGAGACCGTCACTCACATTATTTACTGGCAATAATAGGGGGGACAGATTTTATTGTATTACTATTTCCCATTTCACATCCTGTTTTTAGTATGCAGCCAAAATTGTGTATTTTTATCCCAGTTGTCTGGTATGACTCTCCAGCTATTGAGGAGCCACAAATAAGTCACTGCCAACTTGATTTCTCTTGTTAAGATCGGCTGTGATATGAACGCTGTCTTTTTAACGCCTCTGAGATTATAATAACCCCACGACCCCATCAGGAGTAAGCGGTAAAGAAAATGGATGGATGGATGCATGGGAATATAATAACCATTTATATTTTGGAATCACAGTCAATGGATATGTTTAAACATTGGTTTTGTGGATTAGAGAGGGACTGAGACACGGTTTTAGACGGTGATCCCTCAGATGAAGGATAAAGTTAGAATGCAGAGTTAGTATGTTCAGAATGCAGCCTCAAGGTTAGAGGACACAATGTGGCCTCCAAACACACCAGTGTGCTGTTTGCCATTAAGTTTTATTAAAAAAGAGCCGCACTGAAAATAAAAAAGATTTAGATTTTTTTATTTTTTAGCACCAGACTGTTAACATTTTTTTAAAAGTGCTGATAAAAACCAACATCTTTGTTGGAATAGACCAAACTTTTTAAATCTTTCAATTCTGAAATGAAAATGATATTGAAATATAACGTAAGGGGGAAGATAATTACAATGGAAATGAGCTGATGTTTACATTCATGTGCTGAAGAGTACCTTTTTTCAGAAGCATCCTTTAAGCTCCCTGGGAAATGGATTCTTTTGCTAAAGAGCAGCAGTCAAACAAGAACTGCCTCATTCCTTAAAAGTTGACATTTTATTAAACACAAATCACAAACAATCACAGTCAGAGCAAAGAACTTTCAATCTCCGTGTGTCGAAGCTTCTTCCTGCTTCCTAAAAAAATGTGTGCGGACCTTTTGGATTTTGATCGAGCTGCTCCAGATATGGCTATTTCTTTCTTATATCAAAAGTGCAATTACCTTCCTGCTGCTTCACGTCTGTTCCATCACAAACATTCATATTACCTTTGCAAACTTGAAATCACATTGACATGACAAATGCAGTTTGAATACATTAGAAACATGTTTGTATGTAGTTTTTTTTTTTAATCTATGTAATGAAAGTAAATGTAAATGCCAGAAACCACTTATTTTCTGACTTTAACCAAGCAAATCCTCCATCCAGCTGCTGTTTTCTGGTTTTTGCTGGCTGCTGATGTTTTCAGAAGCCGACAGGCTGTCCATGAACAGGTTTGCGTTGTCGGGATGGGACGCTGGGGGTAAAGTCGCATCCGTCGCAAATATGTCGCCGGCAAACAGATCGGTGTTAGCTGGAGGAGCGTCGCCGAACAACGGGGCGTCGCCGAGCAACGGGGGTTCACCGAGCGACGGGGCGTTGCCGAGCAACGGGGCGTCGCCGAGCAACGGTGGTTCACCGAGCAACGGGGCTTCGCCCAGCAACGGGGCGTCGCCGAGCGACGGGGGTTCACCGAGCAACGGGGCGTCGCCCAGCAACGGGGGTTCACCAAGCAACGGGGCGTCGCCCAGCAACGGGGCGTCGCCCAGCAACGGGGCGTCGCCCAGCAACGGGGGTTCACCGAGCAACGGGGGTTCTTCGAGCAACGGGGCGTCGCTGAGCAACGGGGCTTCGCCGAGCAACGGGGATTCGCCGAGCAACGGGGCTTCGCCGAGCAACGGGGCTTCGCCGAGCAACGGGGC